GGCTAAAGGATCAAAGTGTAGTTGGAACTAAATGGGTATTCAAGAACAAAATGAATGACTCAGGAATAGTCATTAGAAATAAGGCTAGAATGATTACTAAGGGATCAGATTGAAGGGATTGATTTTGAGGAGACTTTTGCCCCTGTAGCTAGACTTGAAGCAATTAGGGTTTTGTTAGCCTTTGTCTATTTTAAAGGATTTAAATTATACCAAATGGATGTTAAAAGTGTCTTTTTAAATAGGGTAATTCAAAAGGATGTATATGTGGAACAACCTCCAGGTTTTGAAAATTTTAAACATCCAAATCATGTTTTCAAATTAAAAAAGGCATTATATGAATTAAAACAGGCACCTGGAGCTTGGTATGAGAGGTTGAGCATCTTTCTATTTAAGAGATCTTTTGAAAAAGGAAGTGTGGATACAACTCTTTTTTTGAAGAAATTGGGAGAAGAAATACTCATTGTACAAATTTATGTTGATGATATCATCTTTGGATCTATAAATAAAAATCTTTATGATGATTTTTTCTAAAATAATGAGTAGTGAATTTGAGATGAGTCTAATGGGAGATTTGAGTTATTTTCTAGACTTTAGCATTAAGCAAATTGAGGAGGGTACATTTCTTAGTCAGTCGAAGTATGTTAAGGACATTCTCAAAAAGTATGAAATGGGTAATGCTAAACTTGTTAATACACCTATAAGTTCCTCAGTTGAGTTGGATAAGGACCCTAAGGGAAAATCTGTTGATCAAAAGAAATTTAGAGGGATAATTGAATCTTTGCTTTACCTGACATCTAGCCGACCCGATATCATGTTTAGTGTTTATTTATGTGCTTGATTTCAATCAGATCCAAAAGAATCACATTTGACAACAGTGAAAAGGATTTTAAGGTATTTGTTGGGAACTCAGAACTTAGAAATTTAGTATCCTAAGTTTAGCTTTTTTTTGAAATAATTGGATATTCAGATTCAGATTTTTTAGGTTGTAGGGTTGATGGAAAGAGTACTTCAGGAACATGTCAATTCATTAGAAATTCTTTAGTCTCTTGGTCTAGTAGAAAACAAAATTTAGTAGCTCTATCTACTACTGAAGCTGAATACATTACCTTAGGAAGTTGTGTGGCACAAGTACTTTGGTTCAAATAATAATTAATTGATTTAGTATTAACAATAGACATAATTCCCATTTATTATGATAACACTAGTGTAATTTATACCTCTAAAAATTATATTCAGCATTCAAGAACCAAATATATAGACATTAGGCATTATTTCATAAGGGATCATATAACCAAATGAGAAATTGAACTCAATCATGTATCAATAGAAAATCAACTTGCAGACATTTTTACTAAACAATTAGCCTTTGATACTTTCAGTACATTAAGAATAAGGCTTAGTGTGATTGACTTGAACGCTTAATTAGATGTTTCTGCAACATTGATATTTTTATTTGTGTGTCTTTTGATTTTGTGATTTTCTGTATGCGTTTTTTAGTGTTTTGTTCGTGCTTGATTTTGTAACCTCCTGTTTGTTTGTTTTGTGTACTTTCACATCAAGATTCATGATTTTTGAGTGTTGGCAAGAAAATTTCAAAGTGTGAAATTAGTCTGTATGAAATTATTTTTGTACGGGGCGAATCGTGTAGCTTATTAACAAATGGTTTTGCATGCAGTTTTTCATTTTTTAATACTGTTCGTCTGTACAATTGTGGCGATCGTCTGGACGATATGTATTCAATCGTACGTATGCATGTAGACGGTTATACGGATAAGATCCATTTCTTTATTTCTGATTGTACATATGAACTTTCAGTTCGTACATACGAACACATGACAGTTCAATGTGGGGAACATTTCAAACCGTCATAAAAATGATCTTAAATACCTGATCATCCCGGACAAACACCTATTCATCTGTATGATCGTTTGGTCAAAAGTCTATACGAAAGGACGCCTTGTAACTTGCGTATTTATGAAACGCTATTTCTTTTTTAGACCCATTCATTTGTCCATATGAAATTTATTTCGTACGTATGAACCCAAATTCGTCCTGGACGAAATAATTTTCGTTCGTACAAAAATTCATTTTTTTCTTTAAATTAAAAGTTTTTGAACTCAAATCTCATTTACTTCAAAAACTCTTTCAATCCTCTAAATCTTCTTGATCTTCTCCATGGCTAGTTCAAGCAAAAGAGACAGGCAAAAGGTACTTGCTAACATAAATCACCAGTTTGTGTGTTGGATATCAGTGCAACGCTAAGAAAAAAAATTTACTCACTATAGCACTGCAAATATTTTAGCCATAATATTTATAACATAGACCAAATTTATATTACACATCACTACAACACATCATAAAATTAGAATGAAAATTTTTTAGCCACTTAAATTCATCAAAACACAAATAAACATAAATTTCATTGGTAATAAATTAAAAGTTTCATAGATCAAATATTAAAGATAAAACCAAAAATCATCTTACATTGATTAAAAGTCCCTACTACTCAAAAAAATTCCTATTCCACTTCCACACCCTCTCTCCTTCCCTCTCCTTGGCTATTGAAAGAATAGAAGAAAATTACACAAAATAGCAATAATAACACTAAAAAAATTTGCCCTTTATTTAAGTTCATATCCCCATAACTTATCATAGTGTTGCGGTGCTCTTAAATGAACAAACACTGCAACACTGAAAAAGACCAACATCATTGCACTGAATGTGATTCAACATGTATCTTTGGCCAATAACTACATTAATTGAACCACTGTAGGGCTCTGGCAATTTTGTACTATTGTGTTCTAGATTGTGATTTGGTGTTATGGCCTGGGGTGATTCGGTGTTATAACTTAAATCTCTCTCTCTCAATATTCTCTACGGCATTAGAGAGCAAAGACTAGCACTGTAGTGTTCAATAATCAGAATGTTTCTACGCTAAGCTCTTTATCTTGTCCTTTATCTTTCTCTCTCTTTGAGTGGTGTAGTGCTCGGAAAAAGCACTATCACTGTGCTATTTGTTTGACCTCAAGATCTTGACCTTAGCACTATGGTGTTGCAATGTAATGTTACACCAATTTTCTTCTATATGCCTCCTTTCTAAAGATTTTATGTACAAAATGATAATTTGAGCACATTTTTCACACACATTTCATAAGGTAAAATTTTACAATTTTCATCTTAATTGAACCCCTTAGGATAGATCTATCTCGTGGGCCCCGGAGAATAACCCTTTGAGAATGAGTATATCTTTGATCTCATACATCACTAGCTCTAATGGGTGAGTAGTTGCTTATTCATAGGTTGGTGCTGGTCACTGCTTACAAGGTATAAGGCTTCCTTTGGGCAAGCACTACTTCGACCTCATTATCTCATGAATAGGAACATGTTTTGATACCTACGAGTTATAAATATAGCCATATATGGGTATACATTAAAGGCACATTCTCACACTCATTAGCCTAGAAAAATTTTTGCAAGATCAATATCGGGAGCTGAAATGCCTCTCATAGAAAGTTAAATTTAATGCTTATTCATTACGTGCTTTAGCTAAGTTAGAACTAGCTAGTATATGATATTGACTTGCGCTAGATATGTCAAATTCTAAAATTGACCTGAATTCAAGTGTTCAAACAAAGGTCTTGAAAATATAATATTTGAACTTCTTCTCTAATGAAATGAATAATAAAATTTCTTACATTTTGTATTTTATATCGAGCATTACATCGTTGATTTTAATCTAAAATTTCAAAATTACTTAATATAATTGTATCAATTTTTAGAATAACTTAAGCATTCATTAAACCGCGAAAAATAAAAATAATCAAATGACAAGAACTCACAAAAGAAATCTAGTTTTAACCAATAACATCAATCAACATCATTAAAAGCATTCTTAACATCACCAATAACCAATAAATTAATCTAAAATCCAGGTCAAAAGCCCTAATTGTCAAAAATGAAGTAATTTTCTGATATAATCAAAATCACGATCGCAAACAATCATACACATCGAATAAGCATATATAATACATCTTTTTATCAAATTTCAAGCAGATATAATCCATATTTGCTCGAGTCAATTTCAGCTCCAATTAATTGCGAAATCATTCTGTGCTCTAGAAAAATTTAAAAAAAAAAAATCATTCTGTTCTCTGCACCAGTTAATTACTCAAAGTGACAGCCATATTTTCTAATCTTAAGACGTTGAAAATGAGAAATAAGAAAATTTCCTTCAAGTTTTTTGTCTTTTGTTCATTTAAAAACAAAATCATCAAAACTTCTAAAACTCTCAATCCCTCGAGAATTAGAGGAAGTCATTATTCAATAATGAGCATCAAAGAAATACCAATTTCAGTATAAAGAGCTTCATTCTGTTTAACCCTATACGTCTTGAGAAAAAAAAAATTCCTCATTTCACTCTTCTAAACAATGAACTTCTCATTCTTACATATTTTCAAAAACGTAATTCTATTTACAATAACAATATCAATTTTTTATCCCACTACATGGAATTGATAACAAGGATCCTTTTTTTCCTCTTTGTCATTTTAAGAGTCAAATTATTATTTAAATCTAATAAAAATCGGCCATTTTTAATGTTTTCTAACAAAATCTTTTTAAATTCATCACAAACTTTTTTACACATAAATCAAATCTAATAAATATGCTCTCCTAATAATTTCATTGAAAAGCTGACATTTTATGTAACAAAAATTAGGGAAAAATTTTAATTAGTTAACAAATAAAATAACTTGAAAAAAAAAATAATTATCAAAATGTGTATCACGTCTATAATTCATTATTATTATTATTCCTTGAAAAAAAAAAGGTTCAATACAAGACCATGGCAGCCATATAGCCACAAAAAGGCAGTCTTGGCCAAATTTAATTTCGTTTCTAAAATTTCAATATAATTCACAGTTCACCTTTCCCTCATTCGTCTATAAGTCAATAAGGCAGGCGTGTCTCACGTCATTTTTCAGGTTGATTGGTCTATATTCTTAGATAATGCTAAAATTCGATTAAAATATTAATTGAAAGACAAGATAGAAGAGGCTCTCAAGCCTGTCGAAGGAAAATGAATTCCTATTAAAAACGTTAATCTCCCATATCCCCATATTTGCCAGAATCACTTGGAGACTCCGGAAAGCCTATACAAATCATCTACACTAACTCAGATCTTATAATCTCATTAAAAAAGGAAAAGACAGCCCAACAGCTACCTTCTTCGATCTCGATCCCGCCACCTTCCACGACTTCCATTGCTTGAGCGATTTTGATCATGATGTTCAGAACTCCGCTGCCTTGACAACTCGTGTCTCTGATTCCACCCCTGCTCCCTCCTCGACTCAGCATGGCTCCGACCATGTCCATGCCTAGACTCCGAGGATCTCAAAGGGGGTCTTTCAGGACTCCAAGTTTCCAAATCCCTGGATCTGCCAACAATCTCTACTCTTCCTGTTGATCGACCTTGATGTGTATGATAAATATCTCTAATACTAGCATTAAAGCGTGGGCTCCCCTGCAATGTAAATTCCTTTGCATTTTGTCTTCGAGTTGAAGATTCTGGCATCATGTCTCGCCACTCAGACCACTCTGCACTGGCATCACCACGTGACAATGAAGTAGGGTTGGGAGGAATCATTGCTACGGAAGGGTCAGAGATCATTAGTGATTGTGACCTCCTTTGGGGTGGAGGAAGAGAGGGAAGAGAGGAGACGGTGGACGTTGGGAGAGAATTGCGACAGTAAGTATCTTGATGAAAGGATGCTGGCGTGGGGGAAGGGACAGCACTTGCGGGGCAGCTTAAAGCATTTCTTTTCGATGGCAAGGAGCATTCAGTATTCAGTCTTTGCGGCTCTGCATAGGATGAGGGCAGGATATGTTGGGATAGGAGAGGACATGGCCTTTGAGAAGTTAAACTAGTAAATGCAACGGTTTGAGGTACAGTGTTTGCAGTGATAAGCACATGAGACGTGCGTACAATGGCAGATTGCAGCTCAGCTTGAGCAGGCAACACCATCAATGTCGGGAGTGGAGTAGGGGTTAGAGTGGGGGCTGAATGTCGAACAGCACAAGAGAATTGGGACTGTGGCAACTGAGCTTTGGACACGGTGGGAAATGCTGACCTCCAACCAGCCTGCAAAATATAAAATTTTGAACAAGCATTTGCAGGAACAAAAACATGCAGAAGAGATCAAATATTCTAGAAACGCACCGCTCTTTCCACATCTGATGGAGGAGTCGGAGATGGAAGAGACATCGGCACCGGATCCTTGGGCTTGTCCTGAGATGTACTACTACTTATCCCAGTCAAACTAGCACCCGGTGAAACACTGCTGTGTTTGATCATATCAAGAAGTGCCACCCTCTCATCGCTGCTAAGGTTCTTTCCCTGCCCAGAGGTGAGGGCGAAGACTAGCTCCGGGTTCTTCAGAAGAACAGCAAGTAGCTCAAAGTCAGGTTCAGCTGCATTGCCATAAGCGGTCATAGGGGGCAAAGCTACCATAGCTGCTGGCATGTCATCAGGAATGGTTTGGTCATCACCAGAAGGATCAAGGGGGTCTTCAACAGCATCAGAATCTGGAGGCTGATCAATTGGGATTTCTGGAGTAAGGCTATCATCAAAGTCCATTTCGATGTCCCATGGCTCTTTAGGATCGGGTGGGATGTCAAATTTAGATGAATAGAACGTCTCCTTCTCCCTTCTAATTCGTTGGGCTTGAACATCGACCTCCTTGCTGCTCTCAGCCTCACCAACCCTCCATGAGCTATTAATCTTCATCTCTGCATGCAACAAGAGGCAGTCCAATTTAAGAAGAAATGTCAGACGAAATCTTTCTTCCAAGCAAGTTCCAAATGCGTCACAAATAAATTATGCCAATTATAGAATGAAACAAGGGGTATTATAAAAGCAAATTATATTTCTTCGTTACAGCTGAATGGGTTTGAAAAACTTCTCCATTGATGTCAAGAAAAGTCGGCCTCTTCGTTAGAAAGAGAGCAAGATTTCAAAACAACCGATAGTCGAAGAAACTGTCATTTAGGAAGGTGAAGATAGATACAACTTCACGTCATGTTTCATATAAGCAACTGGAAATTTTTCAGAGATTTAAAACATCTTCCAGTTCGTTCGCTAAAATAGCAATCACCATGACAGTAAAAATGATTGGAAAACTAGATACCGTTGAACGCCAAAACCTACATCAAGTTGAGGTCTGAAATTAAACCAGACAACTTCTACAGGCTAAATACGTCATTAAATTAATATAATCTACTGGTCTGAATGGTCAGGATTTACTTGTTTAAACCCGACAACTTCCCCGAACAACATCTAGGCATTCGGATGCTCTCCATTTATCATTGTTGAACAGTTATATTATACTGGTCTGAATGGTCAGGATTTAGTTGTTTAAAGCCAGAATAATTTTCAAAATATTTTTTAAAACTATTTATAATCATCGAAAAATGGATAGATGACCGAGATTGATCACACAAACAATTGCCTTCAGAATCTAAATCCCACCTGAAGGTTCGGAATCCCTAGGTTCACCTATGAGTTTTCTCCATTTAGGCCTTTCCGACCAATGGTCCAAAAAGGTTGAAATATATAAATAAATATAATGGTCAATCTTTCTCTGATATCTGGAGATGTGAAAACTTCATAGATGCAGCACAATCAACCATCCTAATTAAAACATGTATAAAATCTTTCGGAGTTACAGTTTAATCTTAACCAATTTTTAAAATTAAAAGTCAAATCTTAATGTAGTATTTTTCATTAAGTTAGGCTAATAACAAAATTATGATGTTATAGGTTCTGGTTATTCACTTATTATGAAACAACACGAATAGCTTGATGATGCATGTGCATCTGAGTAGCATTGCCCCCGTCTTATTAAATACTAGACGAGGGGCTCAACTTCCATCACAATCGAGCGATTTCAAAAATTCATGCTGTGGGTGTATTGAATTACTCCGGCACAACCATTTCACCTTCAGTAAAACGCAATCTGACTTACTAAATCACCAGTCTATGTGGCGCAAGGGTTCAGTTCAATGCAGCTGCAGCAGCAGGCGTATCAAACTTTTCAGCTCAAAATATGATTGCTAAAACGATTGATCAAAATCAAGCAATGTAACAAACTAGACCACCGTTAAACTGTAGAAGCTGGGTAATCACATTAGACTGTTTTTATTCTTACAGAGGCTGTGATCTAGCTTAGGCATAATAATTATATAAGAAGTTTCTCAGCACAATTGAAGCAAATGGTTGGTCGACTGTCCAATGCCTGTAAACAGTATTAATCAAATTTGAAACTAGAATACAAGAAAAGCGATGTGATCCGATTAAAGGGAGGAATTAATTGACCAGATTCCATAAAAAAGTACATTGTACCGTACCAACACCAGATTTCTCCCACGCTGAAACCACTGAAAGAGAAAATTGAGTAAACAAACAAAGAAACAGCAGAAAAATAATTAAAAAAAACAAAGATACCTGGTGGGGTCTGCCACTGGAACTGACTCCTCTTGAGCTTCTCCAACGACTCTTCCTGGAGAGCTCCAGCAGATATAGTGTCAATTGGAGCTTCAGAATCTCCACGTAAAACGTCAGCTAGCATCTTTTCTTCTCTATTTATTTGTTCTAGCTGCATTATTCTGGGTGGTGGCAAAATTTTTTTGGACTGAGGTGCTGGTAGGCCTTTGCTATCTTCTACTATTATCTTAATCTCGCTAGAAGATGCATCTGCCTTTCCATACTTATGCTGCATGAACATTGCACGCATCTTTGCCTTCTGAATATCATCAGCAGAGATTGGACGGCTAAGATTTGACGGTGATGCTTTTACTACTTGTGCAATTCTTCCTGCAGCTTTCTGATCAATCTGCTCAACTAGCCGAACTTTTCTGCGTTCTTTTATCTCTATTAACTGGCTAAGAAAAAGGCCAAGCATGCTCGAAAATTTGGTAAAAACTAAATTACAATGATAAGCTTGACACGCTACAAAGATATATTGAAAACAATTATGTGACTGACAGCTTTACTAAGGGCTGAGGTACATGATAGATGAATTGAGGCTGTAAGAGAAAATCCAAACTATTTCCGTCAGATCAAATGACCAGTAAAATATCCTTTGAACTTATTATATATTTTTTATCTTGCATAAATTAAGCGTTACAACCTGCCCTTGAAATTGCAAAGGAAATTTGTATGGCTAAAGCCAATCAAGGCTACCTGTTTTCAAAATCATTACCATTAAGAGATCCAGAATTTTTCAACTCACTAACTTTTCATTATTTCTTGGGTGTTTACAAAAAGTTATTTTTTAATTAAAATTTTTTCATATAATTAAAAATGGAGAAAAAGAGGATGCAACTGTAGCTCTTTCCATATTTTGTCTTCAACAATCTAGTTCTTAACCCGGTTACCAGATTAGCTATATTAAATTTGACCAATATTAAGAAAAGTATAGGGGAACCTAAAGAATTTGGTTTAGATTTAAATGATAATTTGACTATCAATAGTTAAAAAATGGAGAAAAAACGATTTATGTTGCCGACCACATATAGGAGGATAAAGGCTGCATGTTGATATTTGCTGATGAAGCTAAATCTTAAACAGAACCAAATCACATAGAAAGGTATGCACAATCATAATAACCAAGCAATCCTTCAAACCCCACACGTAGTTTGCCATACTATTTTATGAACAAAATCAAGAATGAATACTGTTCATTAATGAGTTATTGAGCACATCTTCGAACACCATTCCAGCCATTTGTTCAATAGCTAAGCAAAGAGAAGGTTATTAAAGTAACGAGCAGACAGAACGATGAAATAAGAAACATTAAGCTATACAGTACTGATATTTTGGAGCTAAACAATAAGCTAGCAACAGTATTCAGCAGAACTAGTGTACCAAGTAATAGACTGAGCTGAAGGATACTAATTGATAAAGCACTTTGGCCTTGCTTTCTATTCGAGCGATTGCATGATGCTGTAAGCAGCTTCAATGCTTGTTTAGGATCTGATTTACTGAACAAAAGAGTACGAACTATTCATTAATGTCTTATAATTATTACTTATAAGCCCTAAAGTAAAATAATCCTTGACGAAGAAAGCTATTAAATTACAAGTACCTGTCATTCCCGCTACTTTCTTTCAGAGCAAGAATTTCATCCTAACAAGACGGAGAAAATAAGTCCTCATTATGAAGTTTTAAAATTTACTCAGTTTCACAAATACTTACAGTAATGCCAATTTTGGACCGCCAAAACTCTTCACTGAGAATTTCACTTATCCTAATGATTCAAAAATTGAAAAGGAGAAGTTAATTCTATAATGGATTTGAGAACTAAAGCAATAAAAGAAATGGTCCGAATAAATCGCATGCCTCTGTTTCCTAATGATGTCCTTCTGAACGCCATTCGAAGAATTCAATATTGAAGGATATTTCACAGCCTGATTTCTTACAAGCATTTTGCTCCACCTAGAGAGGAGAACCTTTGCCCTGTTTGATATGTCTGATCTTCCAATCAGATGCGTGAGTTCAATGAGTCATGGAAAGAGTTTCGTGGAAAAATAAATCACAAAATAGAGCTAATAAGGCACACGTTCAGTAGAGAATAAATGCTTGAAGCAAAAATACATTAAGGGAAATAGCAATACATATCCTCTACTTTTGTAACGGATAAAAACTGCAGATGTATGGTTACCAAGTAACCTAGCAGCCGGTATAAGAAAAAAGAAGAAAATGTAGTGCACAACGCACAATTAAACAAAAAAGGAATACAAGTTTTATCCCACTATATAGGATGGGTTACATGAATCATTTTTAGTCATTATGCCCTATTAAGAGTCAAATTATCATTTAAATTTAATAAAAAAATCACCTTTAATACTTTCTAATCAAATATTTTTAGGTCTAACTTTAACTTTCTTAACATAAGCTAAATTTAATACATGTACTCTCCTAATATAGTCATTGGAAAACCAATGTTTTAAGTGACCAAACCATCTAAGGTGTATACTCGTTTCATATTCTATGTAATCTTATCTATCATTAGAGCTACTTCAAACTATTCACATGTATAGACATTTAGCATTCTATCTATAAGCGTAAAACCACTCATCAACCTGAGCATCCTCATCTCTATAAGATTGAAATTAATTTTATGCTTCTCTTTCAATGAGCAACATTCTGTATCATAAAACATCGTAGTTCTCACCATCATTTTATAACATTTTCCTTTTCAAGTTTGAAGGGTATTTTCCTATCACACAATAGGCTCAATGCATTCTGATAGGACTTGAGCACCCAAATCGGCGAACAAACAATAAAATTAGGCAAACCCACAGATTTTTTTGATAAGAAAAAGAAACATGAATGAGCAAGACACAATGGTCCTCTTTAAAGAGGACCTCTCCCAAATCTTAGACGCCGCTAGAATCCCTAACAAAAACAGTGGACAGCATAACCTCACAAAATTCTGCACACAAAAACACAACCCTAACCCTAAGGTAAATCAACTACTTAAAGCAAACAATAAACACCAAATACCAATACAGCTCTAACCCAATTCCTTTCCAAATCTATCACATTTCCTTAATTATTTCCCTCCCAAATCAACCCCAAATATGTCCTCTTTAATTATGAAATATTTCCTAATTAATCGACTCCCAAATCACCGCCCAAATCTGCCCTCTTCAATTAGGAAACATCTCCTAATTTACTCTGCCTCCACCTTGCATTAAACTCTGGTCCTCACTCTAATGGTTGGCAGAATCCAGCTGGGGCAGACCTTGTTTCTGCCTGAAGTAAACCAGGGCCGGTTTAGATCCCTCCTGGATCAGTCTAATAATACTCCCACCAAAAAGTGCCACCTTGTCCTCAAGGAGGAATGAAGGGATCTACTATTGAATAGTCTAATGGGACTCCCATGTAGTTTCGTACTCAAGAAGATTCTTCCAGCTGATTAACACTTCTTTGCTTCCTGTTACTCCTTGGCGCACTCCTTCAACCTCCAATGGTTCCAACAACACCTCCATGATATTTGTCAAGGTCGAAGGAAGAGAAGAAGATAGAATGTTCTCTCTTGGGACACATGAAACACCGGGTGGATGGCTGACGATGGTAGTAACTGTAAGCGACATGCCACGGCACCAATGTGCTACATTATCTCGTAAGGACAAAAATAACAGGGTGTTAACTTATCATCCCTTCTCCATGCCAAGGTTTTGTCTACAAGATCAAAGTAAATTCTATCCCCTACTTCAAACTGAATATCTCTCTTATGTGCATATGCTTGTCTCTTCATAATTTGTTGAGCTCTCAACAAATGCCCCTTTAGCTCTGCCAAGATCATGTCTCTGTCTTCCAGGTACTGCTCTACTAAGGCCATCGGTGTGCTGCCTTGTCCATAATATATCAAGTGAGGCGGATCTCTTCCATATAACACTTTGAATAATATTGTCTGAGTTGTTGAATGATAGTAAGTGTTATATCAATACTCTGCTCATGCCAAACATTTTGCCCACAACTTTGGTGTATCTGATACAAAGCACCAAAGATATGTTTCAACACTACGATTGACCGCCTCTATATGTATGTCTGTTTAAGGATGATAAGCAGTGCTCCTTTTCATAACGATCGCCTGCATCTTGAACAATTCCTTTAAGAACTGGCTTAGAAAGACCTTGTATCGATTTAATACAATCGATTCAGGCATCCATGTAGTCTCACCACCTCCCTCATCAAGATCGTCGCTACTGATACTGCCATATTGGGGTGGCAAAAGAAAATGAAATGGGCATATATACTCAACTGATCCACTACCACCAATATCGTAGAGTATCCTTCTACAACCCTGCAATAAAGTCTATAGTCACCTCCTCCCACACCTTTTCTTGCAGAATTAATAGCCCTCCTAGAGACAACTAAATACTTATGCCTCTAACATATATCACAACTAACTACCATCTTTCGACATCCTTCTACATACCCCCCCAATATAACTCTACAAATAGCCGACGATATGTCTTTTTGACCCCTGAATGTCCCTTAATAGTCGTACCATGACACTCCTGAAGCAAGCTGGGAATGTAAGGAGAGGCCTTTGGAAGTACAAAACACCCATAATGAAGTAACTTCTATCCCACCACTTAATATCCCAGATGGCTATCCTTATTTTCCACGAACTCCTCCCTAATTTTTCCTTAACCCCACATCATGTTCGCTCTCTCTCCTCAATGCCTCCTAGTCAACTATTAAGGGTACAAACAATGTCATCATCTAGGGCTACCCATACACCTGGATAAACCATATATTGTTTTGTTTTCGACCCGAGGTCGATATTGAATCTTAAAGTCATAGCCCAATAACTTGGAAAGCCACCTTTGATGCTCATCAAGGCATTCTTTGCTTTAACAAAATTTTCAAACTCCTCTGGTCAATTCTGATGTTGAAATGACTTCCCAATAAATAAAGCCGCCATTTTTGAATGGCAAACATAATTTTGTCATCAACTCCCTCTCATAAACTAACGTGAGTTATGCTCTTGTTGTTAATACCTAACTGAAGTAAGCCACTAGTCTATGGTTCTGAATGAGTACCTCTCCCAATCAAACCCCGAGGCATCAATCTCAACTACAAAATATTGGCTAAAATATGGGAGAGCTAATACTAGCACATTGGTTATAGCCTTCTTCAACTCCTCCAAAGCCTGGGTGACTGACTCTCCCCAATTGAAGTTCTCCTTAAGCTATTCCGTCAACAGCCCAGCTATAGAACTGTATCCTTTCACAAATTTTCGATACTAGCCAGTGTGTACCAAGAATCCTCTTAGCTCCATTAAATTATTGGGTATGGGCCATCTGAGCATGGCCTCAATCTTATCACAATCAGCTGCCACTACCTCCTAAGATACCACATGCCCTAAATACTCACTTTGAGCTAGGCAAAAAAATATTTTCTTCTAATTGGAAAACAAATAGCGCTCTCTTAAGGTAGATAGCACAAACCCCAAAAGCTCCAAGCGCTCCCCCCTTAGACATGTTATGTATCAATATATCATAAAAAAATACCAGCACAACCCTTCGCAAGGAAGGCTGGAATATCTTATTGATCAGAGATTGGAAAGTGGCCATTGCTTTGGTGAGGCCGAAAGGCATCACCAAGAACTCATAGTGTCCCTCGTGCGTCTTGAAAAACTGTCTTGTGTGTGTCTCATGGTCGAATTATGATTTGGCGGTACCTAAATTTCAAATCGATCTTGGAGAATATCACATATCCATGCAACTCATCCAATAACTCGGCAATGACTAGTATGTGAAACTTATCAAGTATAATTTCTTTATTCAAGGCACGGTAGTCTACATAGAACCTCCAACTTCCATCATTCTTCTTCACCAATAAAATAGGACTAGAGAAAGGGCTCACACTGGACTTGATGATTTCAGCTTCGAGCATCTCTGAATCAATCTCTCAATCATGTCCTTCAAGATTTGAGGGTAGCGGTATGGTCAGACATTAATGGGAGAGACTCTTTTCTTCGGAACAATGGTGTGCTTGTGCTCTCGTGAGGGTCGCAATCCCTGGGGAAGCTGGAATACTTCCTTGAACTGTGGATAAAGTGGTTGGACAATGTCAAGAATGTCCTCTATTTCCTCTCTTTCTCCCCTCTCCAAACTTTGCAGCTATACTAAGAATCCCCCTCCTTCCCCTTATATGGCAAAAACCATAGTTTTCAAAGATATCGTTTCTTTGGATAAGCTGGGGAATACCTTGATTACCACATTTCACCCCTCCACCTGAATCTCCATAGCTAAAGCCCCCCAGTTTACCTTGGTTTCTCCCAAGGTTTGTATCAATTTCATTCCCAAAATCAAGTCAGTACTTCCGAACTCCAATGCAAGAAAATCCTCCCTGATATGAATTCCCTAAAGCTCTATCACTAAACCCTGACAGATCCCTCTACTCTTATCCAACTATCAGGTGCCCATCATCATTCCAAAACATCTTGTGTCCATCAGTTAAGCCCCAGATTCTATACCACCTAGTTTAATATGAAACTGTAAGTAGCCCCGCTATCCACAAGAATCGTCACTGCCTCTCCTCCTATATATCCCCTCATCTTCATAGTCTTATTCGAGGTGAATCTCACAACAGAGCTCAAAGAAACTTCAGCCACCTCCAAGTGCAAGGGCTCCTCGTCCTCTACATCTCTTGTTGTCTCTGCCTCATCCACATCCTCTTTATCACACAAAAAGAGAACATGCAAGGTACGATTCTTACATCTATGTCCCAGTGCAAACTTCTCGTCGCATCTGAAATATAGCCGATCAGTCCTCGTGTCTTCTAGTTCAGTATCAGTCAACCTCTTGAAGCTCCCTCCTTGTTAGATTCTCGAACCGCCCTCCTTTTGGGCCTCTCTTTAAACTGGTGTAGTTTAAATCCTAGGTGCCAGGAAAGAACCTCCCACACTAACCCCTTTACTACTTTTCTGTAATGAATTCTTGTCCTTAA